CCCAAAAATGACTATAAATTATAGTGAGATTGTGGTAACTGCAACTATTTTTTTCTCTCAGTGTGATTTCTATGTTATCCGGGTAAACACTTGTCTAAACGATTCTTGATTTTCGTCTAACTTCATCTATTAGTTTTTCTCGTAACATTTGGTTTTAAGAGTAAGAGAATTCAATATTATACAATACAAAAAATGTATTATTACTTACATAATTAAGCATTATCATAAACAGTCCACCATATAAATGGTATAAAACAATGTACATACACTGACGATTCAGTTTATACAAATGTTATTCGAAATGCGCATACGCGTGTTTTCTTTCTGACCGCAATTATGTTGAATATCATTGATCAGCATTATTTCGCTACAATCATACTGCAAGAAGTTAATTTTTATTTAATGAATATCAGTATTCTCGACTTAGGGATTTCATGTTTTGACTGTAAAAGAAATACATTAGAACGCGAATTTACTAAAGTGAACAATTACTTCTGGTTCTAACTAAATTATTTCAGAACGCGAATATATTAAAGCACTTGGTCGATTTTAGTTTTAACGAAATTATTTCAGTTAGAATGCGAATTACCGAGAGGGCTTAGCCAAAACTAGATTTTTCCAGTAAATTCAAGTTTGGACAAATTTCAAGTTCTAACTGTAACATATGTGTGTGTGGGACAAAAATAGATTAATAGGTAAATGGCCGAATTCATATACATATACAAAGGCGATCGCTGAAGATACTGTTCGACGATTCAGTATCGGAATTCCAACCTGCATCGTACGACCGTCGGTTATAACATCAACGTTTGAGGAACCACTAATTGGATGGATCAACAATGTATACGGAGCAGTGGGTGTAGTCATAGGTAGTGGCATAGGTTTGTTACGCACCATGCATTGTGATCCTGATGTTGTGGCTGAGATAGTGCCCGCAGATTATGTCATTTCACATATTGTTGTCGCGAGTTGGGACACTGCCAAGAGGAAGTAAGCTTGCATTTAAAAAATACCAAAGTAGATACTTGTCACAGATGTTTAACACTTCATTATTTATTTAAACAATGTTTATTTGCGTAATACAATTCATTTTGTGTTATTTTACCTTATCACAATGACATGCACATATTATACGCATGTCAATTATTTTGGTTAACGGGATAAAGAACTTATTTATATCTAAAACATGTTTATTGATACAAATATTATATTGCGCATGAGACTCATATTTTCATTAATTTTCAAATAACTTTTAAATAATAATTATCTCAAATAATTTGGAATTTTTTAATATTAAGCAAATATTCAGAATAATAGTGAGTAGATTTTAATTATTTAGTTATAATAATTTATCATAATTGTTATCTGTATACTAATAAATTAATGTACTGAAGGTTGTTATTATACATGTATATGCAAAATTTCCACAATTTTCAATTTTCAATACTCTGCAAGTTTTTTGCTTCTTGTAATTATGTAAATTATAAAAAATTTCATAAATAGCATAATTGTATAAAAGTCAAGTTCTTAATTTTTATTTATACTTTTAGAATTTATGTTCAATGAGTAAAATTATTTTTTTATGGATTATTTGTATATCATGACTAATGAAGTAAAACTATTCCTATAATTTTCCTTTATTTGCTGAATTGTCACAATATGCATATGTCGTAATGATGATTGCTTATGACATAAACTCGAAACGAGTACAATTCTTCTTCATTCAAAGAAAATTAATATCCGGTTGCTATAAATAAATACAATTGCACTGTCACGCAAGAAGAGGAATTTACTGTACAAAATTAGTATACATATAATAAGAGAATTAAGTAGCAAGAAACCAGTTATAATGCACTTACTTATAAAGTAAAAACCACGGTGTAACGAGAGAATCAATCAAAGGAAAAGATTACAGTATAATGCGATTAAAATCTAAATAAATTATAAATTCTTTTTAAAAACAAATATCGTATAACAAATTTTTAACAAGTGCCAAATTGAAACCAGAAAGTAAAATATCGACAATCGTTCTAGGATTTCATATAATTTTAAGATTAAGTTGTTATATTGATATTCTGTAACTTTTATTAATATCCTTCTATCTAAATAAGACATACAAGATATATATATATATATAAAACTTCATCATTTATATACATTTTTGTTAGAAATACTCTATTAAGCATCGAGAACGCGAATCTGGATGTTCCAGAAACCGAGAGAGTACCGATTTATAATTACGTGTCGATGTGCCAAAATCCGATCACCTGGAAAAGATTCATGAAAATAAACGAACTATATGGCATGCAGGTACCAACCACGCATGCGTTCTGGTGCTACATGCTTTTCCTAAACAAATATAAGTTCGTGAACGATATCTATGCGATATTTTTGCACACCATACCTGCTATCATAGTTGACACTGCGCTTTTCCTTACCGGCCGAAAACCTATGTAAGTGATTTACCAAGTTCTGCCTAGTTTATTGTCTAAAAGCATAATCAGCACATCTTGAGGGATTTAATGGAGTTGTAAATTTTCAGGCTACTGAAGGCTTACAAGAAGATAAACAAGTTCAGTTCTATAATATCGTACTTTTCGTCGCAACAATGGCGATTCAACAATGACGCCGTTGTAAAGCTCTGGAGTCGTGTGAATTCGGCCGATCGACAGATTTTCAATTTCAATATAGATAGTTTGGACTGGGAATCATATCTCAAAAACCTGATACCTGGTGCGCGCGTATACATAATTAAAGATCCAATGGAGACAGTAGAGAAAGGACGTGAGAAATACCGAAAGTGAGTAATTGCTCCTGCATATATCACTATTGCTTTTGCCTTGAAATGTACATTACGATGAATTTTTTCTTTCAGGTTGAAAATCGCTCACTACACTCTGGTAACAGTTATCACGGTTTTACTAGTATGGGGCATAATAAACTTGCTACTTCGTATAATGACGTACTTCTAACAATAAGCTTTAAAAAGAAGCTTCGTTAAAAAATGTTTTGTGAGAAATAAATTACAGAAAATAAGTTATGATAATAACAGAAAAATACTGAAAAAAGAAAATAAGAGAAAAATAATGAACATTTAAACTTACATCATAGTTTTTGCATTATTACATTTCGCATTAACCTTGCACGCACGATTCTTCTTCAGAACCAATATTAACACAAGTATTTTTATGCGTACATGAATAATCATTACTTACATATTCATAAATAAACGTCCTTCAGCTTGTTTTTCACCAAAAAATGCAGTTATCATGTACTTTCATGAAGTGTGTATTTTAATAAATCACCAAGTTTTTAACGTACGCTATACATATGAATAAATTAAATTCCCCGAAAACTGAAGCAGATAACATTTCATGAAACACTAACATTATATTAGTTAAATATAATCACTTTTTAACATTAATTTCAAAATTAATATCTCATGCTATAGATACTTTGTTTAATTTATATTATTCTCTTGTATTCATTATTATAATTATTGTTATTGCGTTTGGTATGTGTAATATTCATAATTATACATGTTGTATTCAAATAAATATACAAAAGAAGAAAAAATAAATAATTATAGTATATATATATATTATATATGTAGTAGTTAGACCGACATGTTTAACAAAAAGAGTTTAACACTTGCAAGGAAGGAGAAAAAGCGCAATTAACGTTTGGTTTAGTAGCGCCAAGTTTTTTTTTAATAAACAATAATGTCGCGAATCAAGACCGATATGTATCCAACAATTAAATCGAGATATGTTATAATAATATACAATAAAAAGTAAGGAGCTTTATTTAAAAAAATCAAGTTGGCCTTGAAATGACCTAGAAAGACATGGTCAAAGTCTAGGTCATCATCTTACTCCCCGCTTGAAACCATACATTGGATATTTTCTCGAAAATGCGCATTATATTAATTGAATGCATAAATGCATTCTAACTAAAAATATTAGAGGGGTTCGATACTTTTCGATGACCCTGTATAATTCATTGTCATATAGTGTTTGCTTTCTGAAGACGTCATTTCCTCTGCGAAATCTATTGCATTAATATTGTGACTTTGCACATCGTGACACTTCTTACAATAATGCGCTGCGTTATACGATAACGTAAAATTACATTTTAGCGTATTATGGAAATATCAACAATATGTAAAGCATGTATTACCGACGAT